TAAGAGTTTGTTATTATTTTTTGTTTGATAGTTATCATAGTCAGCATAATTAGTTAGGCTTTTTCGTCTTAGCTGTGCATATATAGTCCTTTTCTCTATTCAATACATCATACAGAAAATTCCCCAATCTTTCTTCTCTCTCTCTCTATATATTTCTTTTATCATCATTATATCATGGTATCAGAGTAAGTCAATCCAATCTAATTTTTTCTCTCGTTTTCCTTAGTGATTCAATTTTCAATTTCAGTTTCCTCTATTCTAGATCTATTCTCGTTTCCTTCTTCTTTGTCAATTTCAATATGACTGATAAACAGGCAGATAATACGAATAAGAGCCTGAATGCCTCTGCATATTCAAATCCTTTGTTTTTGAGTCAAAATGATAATCCTGGAACAGTGTTAGTTACGAACATTTTTTATGGCAAGAGTTTTGGAGCTTGGAAGCGTGCGTTGTCTCTAGCGCTTTCTGTCAAGAACGAATTAGGTTTTGTGACTTGCAGAACGAAGAAACCTGCAGAAGACGATCCTACTTATGATGATTGAGAGAGAGATGCAATTCCATCATTATTACATGGATTCTCAATGCGATGTCTAAAGAAATCTCTGAAGGATTGATCTATTATACAACTGCAAATGCAATTTGGAAACAATTGCATCATATGTTCGAGCAGTCAAGTCTGGTTGTAGTTTTTCAATTACAGAAAGAATTGAATCAAATAGCTCAAGGAACTGATTCAATTACCGCATATTATTCCAGATTTAAACGAATTTGGGATGAATTTGCAACAGTTGATGATTTACCTGATTGCACATGCACTACAGGAGAAGCTTGGATAAAGCGCATGGAAAGGCAACAATTAGTGTGATTTCTTTTTGGATTGAATGATAGTTACATACAAGTTAGAGGTAATATTCTCCATGAAAAACCTACTCCTACTATGGTGATGCTTATGCTACGTTGATTCAAGAGGAACAACAGAGAGTGCACTGCTCGTGTGAAATTGAATACTAGAGGAGTAAAGGTGTTCATGAATGCTGAAATGAAAAGAAATCTTGTTTGTAACTATTGTAAGAAGAACGGACATGTTAAGGCAGAGTGTTGCAAACTGATCTGTTCTCCAGAGAATTTCAAGTTCAATAATCCAAGAAGATCTTCTTCTGTCAATGCTGTTGAAGGAAATGCTGAAATTACTAGTCATGATTACCGACAGATCATGAATTTTATCAACAACTGCAAGATTAAAGAATATGCCATGTCAAATTCTGGACATAATATATTTCAAGCAGTTCATGTGATTCTGTTAAAGGAGAAAGAAGGAAGTGGTTTTGCTGCATGTGCAGGTAAAATTTTGAGTACTCCTATTTCTAGTTTCTGGATTATTGATTCTGGTGCGTCTGATCATATGTGTGGTCATAAATCTGTGTTTTCCACTCTCACAAAACTTCCTAAATCTCACAAAATTTCCTACCTAATGGTAACACGTTGTTTGTTGAGTCAATTGGAAACATTACTCTATCCAATTCATTAACTCTCAATAATGTGTTATACGTTCCTTTTTTTCATTATAATCTTCTCTCTGTAGCCAAATTGTGTTCTACATATAAATCTTCTGTTTATTTTTTTGATACACATTGTTACATGCAAGACCCTCTCACCAAGAAGCCCTTGGTACTTGGTAAAATGGTTGAAATCTCTACTTGTTGAACTCCAATCAAGTCAAGATTTGTGATTCTGATAGTCTTTCTGCATCTAGTACTGTTATGCTAGATAAATGTAACAAGATTATTTCCTTGTGGCATTACGTTTTGGTCATCTTCCTTTGTACAAGCTAAAACAAATAAATCTTGCTCCGAATGCTTGTAGTAAAGATTTGTGTCATTCATGTGTTGTATGTCACAAAGCTAGACAACACAAGTTACCTTTTCCTATTAGTCAATCCAGATCTAATTCTATATAGGCTTCATGTTGTTGTTTGGAGTATATTTTATACTCCTACATACGCTGGACACAAATATTTTGTTACTATGGTTGATGATTATAGTAGGTCAACTTGGATCCATTTGTTGAAACACAAGAGTGCAACCTTTCATATCATAAAGTCATTCTTTAAGTTTGTACAAACTCAGTTTCATAAAACAATTAAAGTGATTCAGACTGATAATGCCAAAGAGTTGGGTAATAGCATTGAAGGATAAATTTTCTTCTCTTCCAAAGGTATCATTTATCAGTTAGCTTGCCCATACATACCTCAACAAAATGGAAGAGTTGAAAGAAAACACAAACATCTTTTTGAAACAGCCAAAGCCTTGATGATCCAATCTGGACTACCCCTAAATTTTTGGAGGGATAGTATTTTGACTGCAACCTGTCTTATAAACAAAATGCCTTCAAGAGTGTTAAATCATCCTACTTCTTTTGAACTCCTATTCAAAACCAAGCCACAATATGATCATTTACGATCTTTTGGATGTTTGTGTTTTGTTTTCACAAATCATGTAGATAGACATAAATTGCAGTCTAGAGCTGTGGATATCCTTTTGATATGAAAGCATACAAAGTTATGCATCTTGAAACCAAGAAAATATCATACTCACGAAATGTTGAATTTTGTTAAACTGAATTTCTGTTTACCAAATCTATTTCTTCACCAAATACAAATGATTTACCCTTGCCTATGCCAACTATTAATCTTGTTTCTTTTGATCCTGTTGAACGCATAAATTTTGATTCAACCCATTCTCCTCCAATATCATCTACTATACCTTTGCAATCGGCATCTCAGTCACCAAATCATCCAATCACAGAATCTGAGCTTGTGCATACTGAACAAGAATCTCGAAATCTTGATCATGTTGCGGTTCCTACTCTTGCATTACGCAGATCTTCTAAAATCCCTAAACAACCTTCTTATTTTGATGATTTTGTTTGCAATCATATTTCTTCAGATGCTTCAATGCCTTATCTTGAAATATGTCCTCATACCATGACTAATCTATGTGTTTCGTCTCAGAATCAATATCCAATTGCTTTAAATAGTTTTAGTCAATCTTTTGTTGCAAATATAATTTCTGTTGTGGATCCCAAGTCATATGAGGAAGCTGTTTCTAATCCTTTTTGGCAAGAAGCCATGGCAAAAGAATTTGCAGCCTTAGAAGCAAATGGAACTTGGAAACTTGTTCCTTTATCTGCAGGAAATCGTGCTATAGGATGTAAATGGGTTTATAAAACCTAGTTAATCAAGATGGGACAATTGAACGACATAAAGCACGGTTGGTGGTACAATGCTTCACTCAAAAATAGAATGAAGATTGTTATGAAACATTCTCTCCGGTTGTCAAATTTACTACTATCAGATGCATTGTAGCACTTGTTGTCAAACAACATTGGCCCATTCATCAGTTAGACATTAACAATGCTTTCTTACATGGAGATTTGCATGAAGAAGTTTACATGAGAAGGCCCAAAGGTATGGTTTGCACAAATGATAACTATGTTTGCAAACTTATGAAGTCTTTATATGGTTTGAAGCTGGCTTCACGACAGTGGTACTCAAAGTTATCTCAAGCGTTAAAAGCAAAAGGATTTCATCATTCTCAGAATGATTACTCTTTGTTTCTCGAAAAGACAAAAGAGTCGTTCACCATAGTGGCCGTATATGTTGATGATGTCATAGTGACCGGAGACGGTACTTCTGAAATAGAAGAGTTGAAGAAGTTTTTGCATGAAACTTTTCAAATCAAAGACTTGGGTCATCTTAATTACTTTTTGGGTTTGGAGTTCCTGCGAAGTGATCAAGGAATTTTTCCAACTTAGAAGAAATATCTTACTGAGTTGCTTGATGAGTATGGCATCACAACTTCTGAAGATCTGACAACTCTGTTTAGAAGATCCGAGCAAATATAGACAGTTGGTGGGGAAACTCAATTTTTTGGTTCATACCCGGTCTGATTTGGCGTTTGGTGTTCAGTTCCTTAGTCAGTTTAATCAAAATCCCTCGAAAGCTCATTGGGATGCTGCTTTACACGTTCTGAAGTATTTGAAGTGTTCGGTTTTTTTGGGTTGTTTTTCAATGACAAGCCTGATTTTTCACTTTCTGCCTGTTGTGATTTGGATTGGGCATCTTGTCCTTTTTCCAGGAGATGAGTAAGTGGTTACTTTGTTTTTTTTTTGGGAGTCCTATATCATGGAAGTCAAAGAAACAAGTAATAGTTTCATCATCTTCAGCTGAGGCTGAATTTAGATCTATGAGAAGGATTACCACTGAGCTTACATGGCTGAGCAGACTTTTGGCAGATTTAAGAGTTGAGAACATTACCCCAATTGCTCCGAAGTGTGATAATCTAGCAAGCATACATATAGCAAATGATCCAATTTTTCACGAAAGGACAAAACACATTGAACTGGATTGCTATTATGTAAGAGAACAACTACAAGCAGGAGTAATTGCTGTGGAGTTTACGCCAACAAAGTCACAACTTGCAGATGTGTTTACTAAACCATTGCCTGGGCCCAAAAACATTCTGATGTTATTTGCAAGCTTGAAGGGGTGTTAGAGTTTGTTATTATTTTCTGTTGATAGTTATCCTAGTCAGCATAATTAGTTAGGCTTTTTTGTCTTAGCTGTGTATATGTAGTCCTTTTCTCTATTCAATACATCATACAGAAAATTCCCCAATCTTTCTTCTCTCTCTCTATTTCTTTTACTCTCATTATATCAAAATAGGCACCTTTTTATGACAACAAAGGGTGGTGAATAAAAAGAACAAGCTGATGTTTTCTCTTTACATGCACTAGTTAGAAAAAAAATGCTTTACTCGGCATCTTTGAATAACTTTTTGACATTACCAGCTTGTGTTAAGGTGTAACTGGTAAGATGAGGAATAATCATCACTGTTCATACCTCTGGTTGTGTCGTAGGTTTATGCGATCTGCTTTCGATTGTCTTCATATTTTAATTTGTGTTCATTTTGAATTTCTTTCATCAATATATGTTGTTGCAGAACCTATTAAGAAAATAACCAAACCGAAGCCATGGAAGCATTCGGAACCAGTAACTGGGGAGCAGCTTAAGCAGATGCGTGAAGAATTCTGGGATACTGCTCCACATTATGGTGGCCGAAAAGGTGATCTTTGTGTTGAAAATGTTATCCATTGCCTATGTGCATCTTCAGTAATTATCTTTTACAAAAAATATACAACATGGCTGTCAAATATGATAGAACTTGTGGTTGGAAGCATTGTTGAACTATTATTACATGATATATTACACATGGGGTGCTCTGTGTTTGTAGCTTCCCAAATGTCTTAAAAGGCCTCTAATTTCTTTTCAACATTTACTAGACATAGGGGTGAGCAAATTTTCTTCTTTGTCCTGCTTACTCCACAACTTCATAGGAAATAAGGCTGATCTGTCTTTTCAGAAACCAGGACTTGTAACACCGACCCACCAATATCCCATCAAAGAGTTACACTTAAAATCACAGGCTATTTTCCATGCTTAAAAATTGTTGTGGGCTTGTGGGTTCTTAATGTGTGCATCAAAAGATTGATATTAAGCATGCTTGATATGGAGGGCATAAGTAGATTATAGAAGTATACTTAGATCTTGTTCTACACCACACTGCAATTCTTGCAAGTTTTCACTGGGAATGAATCTCATTGGATCCATATTTGAAGGTTTTACTATCCCTAGAAGACAAGAACGAACTGAACTTTTCTAATGTTTGGAGGTTTCAAATCATATGCTGCCTTTGTTCGTCCCTCTCCTTTTTTTCTAGTTTCTTTCTTTAACCCAAGTTGCATATAACTAAAACTGTGTAGCATGTAAATCTGGTGTGCATTTCTAGTAAGTAGTAACCGAACGAGCCCAAGATATCCCACCCGGATGTAGGGTTGGGGGTAAGATGTGAACTCTACCCTAAAGAGTAGAGTGGCTGTTTCCGTGATGACCCCCATCTAGTGAAAGTGTGTGAAAGGGAGAAATAAGATTTGAAAAGCAATACAAATAGAATGAGAGCAAGGTGGATATTCAGAAACTAGATATGAGTAAGCAGCAACAATATAAATACAAGTATAGGAAAAACAAAACTAACAAGTGGAAACAACACACCCCTAGTCTAAGGAACAATTTAATAGAAGGAACCCTATCCCTACCCTCTACCTCTCTAGCTCCCTTCTCGATCTCCACCCCTAGTCGTAGCTAGTTCATCTCTAATATCATAGATGAAGCCATATCTACATAGATTAAATTTAGTTGTATGCAATCTTTGTTTGGATCTTAGTTATTCATATATGGTCAAGCCATCATTGTACAGATTCATAGCCATGTTTGGCAACTATAAGCTAGCTTATTTTTTGCGTTCATTGCAAATGCCCCCTTTTTGTAAGCCATAATCTAGCCTATAAGCTAGCATTTAAAAACGCTACTTGCAATATGGTTTTAATAAGCTCCGGGGGCCTTTTTCCAATTATGCCCATAGCCCATAATATTTTTCCAATTGATTCTTTAGGTCATTTTACATTATCATCTAGCACGACTAGTTTTATGACATGTCATTGTTTATCGTCACTAAATGGACATGTTGTAAAGGAAAGTTGCATCATAAAAGAATTTATGTAGGACATCTGTGATCACTCTATCTACTCGACTTGGTATATAAATGGATTAAATTCCAGTTATTTTTATTTTTCCGTGTAAAACATTGGCAGAAACTACCTTCTCTTTGGTACTGTAAAGTCGCTGCATTTCTAGCAACTTGTGATATAACGGGTGTGTGATTGACAGAAATCTGGGATGCACTTCGAGCTGCTGCTGATGCTGATTTATCCCTTGCCCAAACAATAGTTGACAGTGCTGGCATTATTGTTCAAAAGGCTGATTTGACCATTTGTTACGATGAAAGAGGTATTATGCCTTTATTTACCTTTCAAATTTCCTCAATCCTTTTGTATTTCGAATACCAAAACCAAACCAGTTCAGTATATCCCACATAGAGGTAGGATGTACACAGATATCCCAAATGATATTTCCAGTGCTTACCCATTTTTTGCTTTTTGCAGGTGCAAAGTATGAGCTACCAAAGTACGTTTTGAGTGAGCCAACAAATTTGGTTCGAGGAAGTTGAGAACGAAGACGCGGACAATGTTTAATTTCTAGTTTCAAGACCTGAAATCATGTATAGTTTTTAGTCTTAAATCATAATCCATTTCCAAAATGTTTTGTGACGAAAACGCGCTGATGCGAGTTGACCAACAGCTTCTACATGATGTGGATATTTTGAGTAGAAATTGTGGCATGTAAAACACTTGTTTTCCATGGATATATATGTCCTCTTTTGTGCCATTTCTACCAATAAATCATGAATAATGTTGCCAGATTGTAAATTGACAAAATGTATCAAAATACAATTGTCATCTTGGTTCCTATTTAGTGTAACAACTCTCAGACCAATGTAATCGAAGTTTCAAAATTTCCTATTTTTTAATCCATTTTGATGGATATATATTGATTTTATAACATTTGATGACATGAATATCAAATTTACCGTCACTTTATAATATAATCCTTTCTTAAAGAGATATATACGTCATCAAATGTTACAAGATTATGAATACAAAATAGAAAATTTTAAAATTTGTTAAATCGCTTATTATTTATTACATTAAATAAGAACTAAACAAAACTTTATTGTATTTTGATGCAATTTATTTGTTGTAGATTGCTTTTCTTTGCCATTAAAGAAAAATGGTACTATAGTCCTTGAATAGTCAAAGAGGGGGGGGGGGGGGGTTGTTTATATCAAATTGCTAACTTTCTTGCCTCTAATCATTTGTACCAAAATCATATCTTACAAACCATTATTTACAAATATGTGTAAGATGGCAATGGAAATCAATCAGCAAGTGTTGAAAATTCGTCTTCGGTTTCATCCTCGGAAGAGTCATCAGTTGGAGAATCTGATTCTATATTGTTTGAGATCCCTGATTCGAACATCTGCCGCCTTTGAACAGCAGCCTCAACTCTTTGATGAAAATTTTCGTCTGTGCACGAGAGCATGTACCTAAGCTTAAAATTTACACGATTCTCCACAAGAATCTTGTGCCGAGGTATGATTCGCTCTTCGAGAGAATAGCTAAAGAAGCTGTAAACAATCACTTAGCATCATCAGTGTCAAGGGTATTCATGTAATTTTGAAGTAAAAAAGCAACTCATTTGACTGTCAAAGCCAAAGTGTCTCTCCAAATTTTGACAAAGTGTCTCTCCAAATTATTAGTAAACCAAACCAAACAAACCCAGTGAATCCCGCACATAATAACGTTTGGGAAGGGTTAAATGTAGGCAGACCTTACCTCTACCATGAGGGGTAGCGAGACTTTTTCTGTAAATACCCTTGGCTTGAAAAGATTTTAGAAAGCATGATTTTCCAAGAAGCATTTATAAACCACTAAAGGGTCGTCAGCTTAGCGGTACCCGGGTTACATGGTATAGCCCAACCTCCCAGGAGGTCAGGAACCTCACCAAATGGTGAATGTACGTGAATATTTGCCGTATATAAATATTATATACTTCAAAAACTTTAGTAAATCAAACATTATAACAATCAAAACAAACTATGATACCACTTTTTATGCAAGCAAGGGCACAATATTGGAAAATAAAGTATACCGTGGAAACTCTATGAGATCGTTTAGAGGGCGGACCATGGTTCTTCTCAAATACCGATACTTTGGGCGAAGAATGTCAATATTGTAGCGAAGGAGCATGGGAAAATCAGCAATCATTTCACCCAATGTTTTAAGGTCTATGCCAAGTGAGAGGAAGTATTTGACATTAGGTTCCAATTTCTTTGATATGCTGCACCCCAAGAGCTCTGGCCCCAATCCTATCACCTTTCCAATGTCCGTCTGGGAAACTCCAGCTTTTGTCAACAAAAAAATTACCTGCAAAAATTTAACCAAATAATGTCCATAAACCAAAAGCCTGGCTAACGGTGACCATAGTTAAAGCTCGTTTGTTTATTCAAAATTTTCCGAGTCCAACATCCACTTCTTTTTCACATCTTAAATAAAAGGGAAACCATAATGCATAAAAAACAAAGGGTTTTGATATATACCACGGGTCGTATTTTCTTGTAGAGACTGTAAGTTAGAAGTGAAGGAAACTTGACAAGCATACTAGCAATTCCTTTTTGTTGAACACCTATGTCACGAAAGAATTGCACCTTCAAGTAGAAAGGTTACAACGTTAATATAAGTTATATGTTCCTTTCATATCTATAAAAGGGAAGCCTCTAAATAAGTTACATTTGAACCAGAAAGTCAACTTTTGACTCTGTTAAGCCAAGGTTGATCAATTAAAAACCAGAATACCACAAGGATAAAAGACAATACCTTTTGAACTATATTGCTCTCCAAATCAAAACAGAAGACCATAGGTTTAACGGTAAGAATTCTCCTCATACCATCTCGAGAGATCCCAAGATAATAAAGGTACTTAACGAGAGGCTTCCATCTTTCTTCAATGCTACATCCCATCAATTGTGGTCTAAATGCTAACAATCTCCCCACATCTTCGTTACCAAGGCCAAACTCCTTCAAATATGCAACCTGAAAATCCAAAATGCATCAGAAATACAGAATTGCTTTAAAAGTCAAAGTGTACGCTTTGCAAGAACAAAGAGAGTCGTAGGCAAATGGTTTTTTGTAAATGTATACTCAGAGAATAGAATCCAATCTTTGGCTACCTTTTGGTTCATTTCCTCAAAAGAATAGAATCCAAGCACTTTGGGGAAGTCAAAAACCATCGTCCCAAAATCTTTCTCGTTCATACCCATATCAAAGTAAAAATTTGTGCGATTCTTAAGTTCCTCCATGCTAAAAGACAACAACTCAGGACACCTGCTAACTACATAACCCATCCACTCCCTTCTAACTCCGTTTTTCTCCAAGTACCAAACAATCTCATCCAACTCTTCGGTGTTGCGCTCCAATATATTCTTTCCAGCTCTAAGTAATGCAACTCCAATAAATCTCCCATTCACATGAATTGACTTGAGCCATTCAGCGGTACTCCGAATTGACTCAATATTTCCTCTTGAACTGCAAATTAGCTTCCCAATTTGGGGATATGACAACCCATTGTGTTTCAGCCACCTAGAAGAATACAAATCCCACAAGGCATAAGTTTTTCGACTCTAAAATTTGGCACCAGATTGACCTATCTTTACATGATCATAGGATTGTTTTAACGAAAGAAAATTCAAAAGTAATTCAAGCAACATCAAAAAGGGTCATTTTTAATTCAAATTATTGAAAATTCAATCAAGTACTTTTGTTTCTATAACACCCAAGTACCAATACAAACATAACTCAATCCAAGAACCTTATAAAACAACGCCTCTGTGCCAATAATGCATATCTAATTGATACAAAATGCATCACTTACTACATCAAAATTAAGAACATCCATGTGAGTGAATGAGCATTCTAACTATCTTCCTTCTACTTGTTATATGCAAAATGGCAATTCTAACCATAGATTTCTGTTGAAATATAACCATAAAAAAAGTGTAATCACTGTTATATTTTACCTTATTAGAGGGACGACATTGGAGCTTTCTAAGCAAGCTTTGGCACGAACATTGAAGGAAGAATTAGCAAATTCAGGCAACTGTTTGATTGATGCAGCTTGAATCATAACATAATCAATAAACTCAGGGAACAATTTTGAAGCCAAATTCGTAGAATAAGTGATCCCAAATTTCCCTTTCCTCATAGCTTCCTTAAAAATCTCCAATGTCACTTCCCTCCTGATCTCAACGGCCCTCATAATCACCTCAAAATCATAATCATCATTTTCTCCATTAAAGATTGCTGGCAATGATGAGTTTACATCGACGTCGGCCGGAGATTGAACGTAGATTGAGCCTGGAAACTGAGGCGTCCTTTTTCTAGCCATCGATAGCTCCAAAAGCTTCGATATCTCATCGTATTCATAACCATTTTGATTTTCTCCTTTCGGAGAAGCTTTATCTATTAAGAAGAGGAGTGAGGTGGATTTTGCGTTATGTGTTCGGAGAATTTTATCTGAAGTTTCTTGAGAATGGTGAAGAGACGATGCGGATATGGGTGGCTGGTGGCGGCGGATGAAGACGACGGTGGTGGAAACGGGAAACCGGAGGGTGGGGAGGTGGTGGGCAAAATTTTGTTGGCAAGACATCATTGTGGATAAGAGAGGTGATAACTCATCTCGTGAGATATTAAAGTTTAAAGCTATTTTTAAGTCGATGGATACTGGAATGCGACCAAAAAGAGAAAGAAAAGTGAATTTGGGTTAAAAATGTAATTGGTCAAAATTTCATGGGTTAAAAATGAAAAAGGCAAAACCCCATCTTGCTGTCAAAAACCCCTGCCTCTCTACTCTCTCTGTTACTTCCGTTTTCTTCTGCCATCTTCCAAAAACTTCTGGTTATTCCATCGGCTTCAGCTTCAGCGTCAACTTTAGCATCTTGATTCCTTGTGGTAAGATTTTCTGTTTTTTTCAAGCTTCAATACGCTTTTTTGCCGTTCAATTTGATAGAAAACTTTGAAACCCTAATCCCAATTAACAAGAACAAGAGAAATGTTCTATTAATTGCTCACTTTTTTCGCCTACATCACTCTCAGTGATAGATAGGTGAGCGCCAAAAACTTGATTTTGAGGTCCTAACTTATGACGGTTTGGGTTTTGTGGTCAAAGTGCATTAGTAGCAGTTGGATTGACGATGATATAGATGAATATCGATTTAGATAATTTAGGCATATGCTATGTCAATGCATTTGATATGTTTTAATTCCAATGTGAATTTTTGTTTTTAGACTATGTCTTGCTTATAGACCTTCCATCTATTTATTAGTTCTGTTTTTATCAATTTTAGACGGGTACCAATGAGGTAATATAGGAAGAGATCATGAGAATTTATGTTAGGCTAGGGGATTTGAGCGGCATATATCCTAAACCTCTTCCTAGACCCGGCAACATCTTCGTGATGTGTCTTGCTCTTGTTTTATATATATATATATATATATATATATATATATATATATATATATATAAGTGAAGTTCTTGCAAAGACTGACGTGCTTGCTTGTTGGTCAATGGCAAATTGGAAATGATGTGTTCTTATCGCCAATGAGTACGAATTATAAGTATTAGGTAATATACATTCAACTGCCACATGACATCTACTTATCTGAGGTTGAACAAAGTTCTCAAAATAGGGTTTGCTCAAAAGAGTTACAAAGTGGCTGCTGAACTTGCTGCTCAAGGCATTCTTCATGCACTGGATATAGTTGCAAAATTTCAGGTACTTTCTTCGTTAAAACGCAATGCTATCAGTGAAAATGCAACCTGTTGAGGCATTTGAGTAGTCTGTTCATAGACCCTTCTTTTTTATACCTTAGCTCCGAGCTAGAGAGCATGTACTTCAAGAGACCTCAACATAATTTGGCTTAAACCACAGTAGGATATAAGTAGGTGAGAGTCTCGTGAATGGTAGTGGGTGCTCTTTCTACCAATTACCAACCATGTCTTAGGTTTTATTTTGTCTTTGATAATACTAGGCATGAAGTGGTTTTTGACGAACCAATCAGGCTCCCTAAGTACATCTCTAGCTCTTCGAGGGTGATTCTGCCTACTTTACTCAATATGGATATAGAATGAGAATAATGATGATAAAACTCATTGAAATCCACCATGCACTCTAGAACACTCGAGAGAACATAAAGAGAGAGAATGCTCGAGATGAGTACTTCTACCACTTGCGAAGTCTTTACTCTTTACAAGTCTTTGTTGGATGATTTGCAAACAGTCGGCACTCTATTCTTCAGTCTCCACCTCCCTAAGAAGATGGTGAGTATCAACCTTAATTATCAAGGCATGCACAATGGCACATTCTGCAAAGCAATGAACCAATGAGGCAATGACACAATTTTTAAATTTGGTAGAGCAAATCTAAAACGTTGGGACTCTTAGTTTTATTATACAGTGGGTCTGTAAATCCTTTTAACCCACCAATACAATTTCCATATAGCAGAAAAATGATATGGAAAAGAACAAGACCTTATAGGCATAGCTAAGTATTCGATGTTTATACTTCCACGTGGGTAAGTTTGCAATGTCTATTACTCTCACAAATTAAGTTTTAGCATATTCCTCTGCTTGTTGATCAACAATTGTGCTTGCATCTTTTATCTCAAGTTTTCTTAATGCGTATCTTCAATTTGCGAGCAAGTGAGCTATGATGGATCATGGATGCGTCTCCGTTACTTAATCTAAGTTTTATTTCTTACGTTTTCGTTTCAACAGTAAACAACTAATTTACACTGTTTTGCTATTTATGCCATGGTCACTTCTGTTTTTCCACTGTTTTTCATTTGCATGTCACGGGTTGGTTGGAAACACTGGTTTATTAACTTAATCAGTCTTTTGGAATTAAAGTACCAGCTAAATATTTTTTAATTTATTAAGTCAGTCTAAAATAGATTTCTACTTTCCAGTTTCTTTTGTTTTTCGTAGAAAAACATACATAAGATAATTTTGTTAGCATCTCCAACAAATTCTCTATAATGGAAAATCAAAAGTCAAAAATCTCCAAAAGAAATTTTCATTCATCTCCAACAGCTTCTCCATTTTGGAGACTAAATAATAATTATATTGTTAAAATATTCAATACAATTCTTAATTATTATTTCTCTACCTAAACATTTAATTTCAAGGATTCTCATTGGCAGGAAGAATAAAAAATCATTTCTCTTATCTAAGCAATCATTTTTGGTGGTTTCTCCAAATTTGGAGAATTTCATCCTCTCTCCCCTACTTTCTCCACTTTGTTACAAATGGAGTTTCAAATACAAACCATTTTGTATAAATGCCTACAAACCAAATCTCGGCTCATGATTTTGTTGATTTTGAAATTGAAAGGCGGTTATTAAATCAGTTAAAGATGAGATTGAGAGTAAATATAGGAACTGATTTAACCTACACCGTTGATCATCTATATAGATGGTTGAGATTGGCTTGTAGGATTTGTAACAATTACATGGTTTGTATTTTAAACTTCTTCTACGCATATATATATATATATATATATATATATATATATATGTATGCTTACCTGATATAAGTAACCTCACCAGAATGTTTTGGCTGTTGACAACTTCTTTCTTCATTTCCCAACTTGTAAATTTTTCCTATCACACTCAGTTACTCGGGAGACTACTGTAGAAGTAAGGAGGGGAAGAATATTGATTTAAAAAAAAAGGGGAAGCACAGAATTAAGGACATATGGGTAGAGTTAAAATACACACAGCCCCTTTTTTCCTTCCCTATCCTTCATGAAAAGACACTCACCCTAAGTCCCCTGAATCAACAAATCAAACACTCTCACCTAATCCACTGGACTGGTGCTTCTCCCACCTCCGTCACCACCAGTGCTCTCTCCTACCCCCTTTCCTTCGTCTAAAGGTTTCTTCCAAACTCAAAGTCTGAGTTGATTTTTTTATATCTGAAAGCTTTCTTCTGCAGTAGCTGCTCAAACTCAAAGTTAATGCTTTTAACATTCTGCCAAAACCCTAAAAACTTCCCTTCTGATTTCATCTTGATTTCTATTGATCTCTTCCCAACTAACTTCGCCAGCCCTTTTGATTTTTTTTGGTTTTTTATGGACAAAGTAAATTTTTTACGTTTTAGAATAGTCTGTACAGAATTTGGACCATAAAATGATTCTTTTGTTGGTGCCATTTGTTGTTGCCATTTGTTGTTGCTGCTGCTTATGCTTGTTGTATTTGAAAAATGGTGGGCATTGATGCTGTTTGTGATTTATTTGGCAATTCCTCTGTTGATGCTGTTTGTAATTTAAATACCTTCATTCATTATAATATACAGTTGATATTGGTAATACTTTACCACCTTGCCATTTTCTCTGTCTTGTTTGTTCTTAGGATGTTTTGTTGATGCTTATGTTAAAATTAAACAAGTCTTTGCACGTTCAACAGAAATATATTGAATCCCAGGCTTGTGTATGAAACAGGTCTTAAGCTATAGCATATGGACTTGATTGAATCAATCCATGATATCCCTGTGCAAAATCCATCAATTGAAGATTTCTCTGCTGCCGACCTAAAGTGGATCAAGTTTGGCACTCCGGAACATCATGATGATGTGGCCCTAATTCCTTATGCTAGAGTTGATGAGTTTATTGTTGGAGAGTGTTCTAATGTAGAATGTCCAACCCGTTTCCACATTGAGAGAGGAAGGAAACGTTCCAAAGGCAGCTTGTTGGAGTTCAAGAGTGATGAATATTTGGAATACAGGCTGTAAGTTCTCAAGAGTTTTCAAAATTTAATTTTTAAGCTTCCCTGGTCTGCTATATTCAATCACACTTCTATAGTGTTCAACAGCTTATCAGTCAAGTTTCTCTTGAATGTCTCTACATAATTTGTCTCGATATGAACTTTAGTCTTCTAAATGATTTTATAGAAACATGGATCTTAATATTGTACTCCTTTTCCCAGGGGTAGGGGACAGGAGGAGGTTGCTGATGCTGCTACAAAGATATATATTTTGAATCTTAATGTAATTTGATGATGCATTGTTCTTTTATTTATTTATGGCTTCCTTAGCTTCTTTAAGTTTGGTTGGCTACAGTACCTATATATATATATATGTTCTATGAAGGGTAGCTACAATTACCTCGAAATATAACATGGATTAGGTAATATCGTCACTAATTGTGTATGATTAAGCTTCACAAAGAATTCAAAGACATGACATTCTCTCCAAACCTTGAGCTTAAATTCTGTTATCTTGCCTTATCTTACTCTTGGAGCTCTTTAACTTATGCCATATGATTTATTCTTATGCTACATCTTACTAATTATGAAAACTTCAAACCAATCAGTGATTGGATTTTGTTTTAAGCATTACATATGTTGAAAAGAGGATCTGCAATTCAATTTGTTTGTGGTTGACAAATACCTGAACTTAAAAAGAGCACCTTCAGTTTTGAAGGATAAGTTGAATGATTCAATCAATGTACATTTGGTTTTTCCATGTAAACACTTAAAAGGTTCCAATGCTGTTTCTGTTTCTCTTTGCTTCTTTTAAAGGTACTGGTGCTCGTTTGGTCCTGAAAATTATGGGGAAGGTGGAGTCATATTGCCAAGCCGAAGATATCGACTCAACACTCGAAATCGTGCAGCTAGACCTCAGTCCATGCGAGGTTGCACATGTCATTTTGTAGTAAAACGTTTGTATGCCCGCCCATCTCTTGCACTTGTAGTATACAATGACCGGCGTCATGTGAATAAGTCTGGATTTATCTGCCATGGTCCCCTTGACCGGGATGCAATTGGCCCTGGAGCCAAGAAGATTCCATATGTAGGCAATGAGATCCAACAGCAGACAATGTCAATGATTTATCTTGGTATTCCTGAGGAGAATGTTTTAGAGAAGCACATAGAAGGGATTCAGCGTTACTGTGGTTCAGATGTGAAAGTGAACTCTCTTGCTTCCCAGTATGTTCATAAACTTGGGATGATTATCAAACGTTCTACCCATGAACTGGATTTAGATGACCAAGCAAGTGTCCGAATATGGGCTGATCGTAATAAAAAATCCATTTTCTATTATCAGGATTCTTCCGAAACAGAACCTTTTATTCTTGGTATCCAAACTGAATGGCAGTTACAGCAGATGCTTCGTTTTGGACATCGCAGCCTTATAGCAGCTGACTCAACATTTGGAATCAAGAGATTAAAGGTACGTACTAGTAGCCTATGAATGTTTCTTTGGCTTCTAAAAACCTATATTTTTTTTCTTATTTTGTTTTCTGATGGCAGTATCCTTTGTGCACTCTTCTTGTGTTTGATTCGAGACAACATGCACTCCCTGTAGCATGGATTATCACTCCAAGTGTTGCCAAACCTGATATATCTAAATGGATGAAAGCTTTACTAGCTCGTGTTCGTGCTGTTGACCCTGCATGGAAGGTCAATGGGTTTCTTATTGATGATGCAGCAGCAGAGACTGATCCTATAAGGTATGTTTTTCATACTTGAAACTAATGCTTCTTTTTCTATTTTACTTATATATATATATATATATATATATATATATATATATATCTTTTATGGGAGGTGAGTGATAAAGAACAAGTGGATCTTCACTTTGTTTTCTGCATTTCTTTCCAGGGAGACATTTTCTTGTCCTATACTATTTTCTGTGTGGCGCGTTCGTCGGTCATGGCTGAGACATATTGTCAAGAACTGTAGGAACATTGAAGTTCAAAGAGAAATCTTCAAACGCCTGGGAGAAATAGTTTACAGCATTTGGGGTGGAGTAAATCCTTTTGTTGTCTTGGAGAAGTTCACCCAAGATTTTGTTGACCAAACTGATTTCATGCAATATTTCACAGCCACATGGGTGCCTAAGATTGGTATGCTGTCATTCCTTTTCCTTGTGTGTGTTGATGTGCTGGATTCCTTCTATCTTCTGTGTTTCTTTCTTATGTTGGGGCAAAATGCATCAAATTGCCTATGAAGTTTTCCTTGTTTTCCTATTCAGTGTAATTAGGAATTGTTTTTCTCAATCACTGAAACCAAGTTCCAAAATTTTCGATTTAATGCATGAAATTTTTTTTTTCATTTTAACCAGTAACCTCTGGTCTTGTAACATTTGATGATGTGGAAGTCAAGTTTATCATCCACTTCGCCATAACCCTCTTGCAAAGCATTTCGTAAATGGGTATTCTATGTAATCAAATGTTACAAGATGAACAGGTTACTGGTCAAAATAGGAAAATTTTGATCTTTGTTACATTGATTGAGAAAAAAATTATTTGTTACATCAACTAGGAACTAAACCAAACTTTATTGCATTTTGATGCATTTTGTCCTATTTGGTATTCTAGTTGAGTTGTTATCTTATTCATCAATGATTGCTGAATCCAGAAATGTGGTTAACAACAATGAAAACGCTCCCACTTGCAAGTCAGGAAGCGTCTGGTGCAATTGAAGCCTATCATGTGAAGTTAAAGGTGAAACTTTTTGATGATTCACATCTTGGTGCACTCCGGAGAGTTGATTGGTTGGTGCACAAGTTAACGACCGAATTGCACTCTAGCTACTGGCTAGATCGTTATGCAGATGAAAGCGATTCCTTCCAAACTGTGAAGGAGGAATACATTAATTCTACATCATGGCACCGTGCATTGCAAATTCCCGACATGGATGTTACTTTAGACAACGACAACAACCTCTTTGCAAAGATAGTGAGCCAAAATGATAGAAACCGTATGCATCTGGTGTGGAATCCCGGGTCCGAGTTTGCTTTTTGTGATTGTGAATGGTCATTGCGAGGGAATCTCTGCAAGCATGTAATCAAAGTCAACATGATATGTGAGAATCTTCGAGGGTATCAAAGTTCAATGTCATTTCAGTCATATCAGGAGATACTTATGAGCATGTTCAAGAAACCACCAGATGATTCACTTGAACTTGATCTGTCAATAGCTTGGTCGCACCAAATTCACGATCAAATTCAGAAACTTGTTGAATTGAACAGGTCAACAGATATTGGCACTGTGGTCAATAATCTTCCATTGAAGTGGGGTGACAAGAAAAACAGAACTGCATTAGGCAGGCCGGCAACCATGGGGCCTTCTCTGGCGCGGACCTCCCCTTCGAAGAACATTAATGTTCGTAAGAAGAGTCGTAAGAGGAAAAGATTGTCACGCTTGAGGTAAGAGATTCTTTAATGTCCGCTATCTCAATAGTTTTGTTGTCTTTGTCTTCCAATCCCATATTACACAAATTTTTTACTAGTTAGCAAGAACAATGTTTGAGCCCAATGTTGTTCGTTATGGGTTTAAAGTTGAAGTACAATAGAATTACCAGAAGTTGTAGATAACATTATCCCGGTTAGCTGCCTTAAACCACAAGCATACGCCTTTTTAAGCCGTATAAATTTTTTGTATCTGATTACACTTACTTCTAATTGTAAGGATCTGCGCCCTTTCTTCAGTTAGAATCATGTAGTAATTGATTTTCTACTTTATTGTGCACCATCTGTTTGGTAACTGTATCATTGTGATGTGGACTAATATGCATATGCTTTTAAATCTAAGGTGCTAGAGACCTAGTTGCATATCAAATATAGATGCTTTTAAGAGCCTTCCTAGCTGTAAATCTTCCAGACCTTGTGTACAATGTGGCATTAGGGCTATGTCTCTTAAACTAGCTGATACGCTAGCTGTTAGCTGAATAGTTAGATATTGACTAATGAATTGGTTGTTAGCTGATAAACTACTAGTCATGTTTGGTAGAAACTAGTTGATAAGCTTGATAAGTAATAAGTTAGATGACAACTTATGTCTATAATCGACTGCTACTGCATGCATTTCCTTTTTTCTATTTGACTTTGTATATAAAATATAAACTTTGTAATTCAATTCCTCCTCCCTTGCGATGGAATAACCAAATCCGTGTATGGTGGAATTCAACTACATTCCATATGTAAACCAAATGCCAGAAAGGAATTTGGTCAATGAAATTGAGAATTCGAATTCCTTGGGAATCCTGTGAACTAAATGTCCCCTTAGTAGCAGAGCAGAGGGAGGGACTTGTTATGAATGTGTTATATGGGTTAGAGTGCAGCAGGAAGCTGCATTCATCTTATTTGCTTACAGTCACAGGTGACGAGTAAACAATTACGTAAATACCCTTTAAGTTGTAGTTGTTTGGATGTTCAAGCTAATGCATAGTCACATTTATAATATTGTACACAACCTTGCACATATTACTCTATTCTTGGTGTTAGAGATGCATAAAAGGGTACGATCCCATTTTTGAAGATCCGTTAGCAAAAAACAGAAACAAAAGATTGCCTGGTCCGAACAGGTTAGGACTCTTAGACCTAGATCAGTCCTGGTTTCAACACTAGGATCGATTAAGAGGATTGGACGTCCAAACAAGATAATATGCATCTTTTTCAGGTCTCAATACGGCATGTCATTTTTGCAATAAAATGGACATTTCTAATTTGCGTGTGTATGCAAGATAAATTTGCGTGATTGTGAGAGAGAGGATGGGGGCGGAGTGTATTTGATTGCTTGGAGGCAGCAGATTTAGGGATGGCAACTGGTCGGGTTTGTTGGTTCCCGTCGCCGAAACCTATTAACCAAAACCGCCCCCTATCCCCAACCCGGTCCCTATAGCCGGGTATTCCCATTGGGGCACTGTAGTTTCCCTTCCTCCATTAAGGGTAAAAATTCTCATACCCCATTAGCTTTCCCTTTCATTCTTGGTTGCCCTTGCACCTGAAACCAAAATTGACTCAAAAAAGTACAATATGTAAATTTTCACAATTGAAGTAAAGTACAATTAGGAGTGTGTATCGGGCGGGTTCGAGTGGGCAACCAAAAAATCCAATCGGACTTGGACATGAAAGCCAAGTCCTAGGTATGCGAATGGGGCGGCGATTCCATTCCCGTCCTTGATTCCAATCTTCCGTTGGGAATACCGGGAACTCTTCCAGTTTATGTGAAATGTTTTAAATCAAATATGTTAAACACCACACTCGATCCAAAATAGTCCACATTTAAATCTCACATATTTAAAAAAAAAATATTGAATAGCAAATACTCATATGGGAACAAAATCATATCATACATAATTGTTTGATCAAATGCTTTCGGTTCATGTTTTTTTTATCTAATTAATAGAAATCTAGTTAGAAAATTGTATATAAAAAGAAAGTTCTTTTTAAATCTAAAATATACTAAAGCTAATTCTTTATAAATAATATATTTACTAATAAATATACAATATATTTAATATCTGAAGACGGGGCAGATCGGGGATCACGTTACTTGTCCCTTCCCCAGTTTTTAACTTTTGGCGATCCCCATCACCGGTTAGCGGTTTTGAGGGGAACTCTTAGCGTCGTTGGGGCTGGTATACCGGGTTCCCAAAAGGGTGGGTCTCATTCTCATGCCTACGAGCCTCGAATTTGGTTTTCGGATTGCTTCAGGTTCGAGTTGGTTGAGTTAGGGGGTTAGGATTGGTCAAATATATCATCAATCGATTTTGAAGATGAATTTAATCGACTGAGTGGATTGATGAAATAAATAGTAGGTTTAGAAATTAAAAAAGAGTACGACCGACTAAGATTTAGGATTTCCAAAATATAATTAGATAAATAAATATATTTATATGTCGGGTTTTTCGGACGGGTCGGGTTGCTAAAAATCAAACCCAACCCAAACCTAAATATTCCCCAAAAGTCGGGTTCTGGATTTTGAAGCATTCGGGTTTTTTCAAGAACACATAGGTTTAGGTATGGATTTAGGACCATTCGGGTTTAGCACACCCCTAAGTACAATTTTCTTATAAACATGCAACTCCAAATGTCTTTAAAATAATCAAACCAATTACGAACAGTGTCTTCAGTTACAATCTAAAAGTAAATAGAAGTCTCAAACATCATCTGATTAACATCACAATTTCACAAATTAACTAGATTATCTACTCAAACTGTCTAAACTTGTCAATCCAAATTTTTTTTACGTTAGTCTCCTACAAAAAGTGTACGATCTAGAAAAATGTATAAAGGTAAATATATCACAATACATCCTCCACGCTAGAACCATACTAAATAGAACGACAATATGCATCGATCTCATCTGAACAATTATACATATAAAGAACACTTATCAATAAAAATAAAATGATTACCTCGTATTTCACTCAATAGCCAGCTTTGAGCACACATCAGAGCCTCCAATGTTTTTTTTTAGTGAAGTCGACTACGATGTGAACTTACCAATATTTCACTAGGACTACATGCAGATTCCGAGACGACAGGAGAAATATGAAAGGGTATTTAAACTCATTTGCCGTCTATCAAACTAGCAAATCAACCTCCATGTCATTAGGCAAAAATTTCTTTTTCAAGTAAAGGTCTTAACTTATCCGTAACATTGAAGCAATGTTTGATAAGAATTCAACACAATGACTGGCTGAAGACCTTGGACTAAAAGAGAACGAACCACCATCATCTTCATGACCGTGGATAACTTGATTTTATTCTTGAAACGAATTGTAGGCCAATTTCTCGAGCTTTTCAGTTTCAATCTCTAATTTCTCTTGTCCGTACTCCACAAATTTCAATTTATACCTAAGATCTAAAACCTCTATGATTCCTGTAGTCTCGTATGTAAGTATTGGTCAAACTTCAAAAGCATCATGGAAGCCACATTTTCTTAATTTCTTCATTAGATGAACATGATTAATCGACCAAAGAATATCTAATTTTTTTTATTTAACCTGGATATCCAACCTGCTATGCGAGCCGACTAATCGTAGGGTGACCACTTGCTTTGCAGGTAGCCCAGAGTCATCGCATTTGAACCTCCGTGGCCACAAGGGGATTTTATTTCTCATTGGATTTGAACATGAGACCTCTTGACACTTTTAACCCTTGTGGTTGAATATCTAATTTTTCATATCGATGGAAAAAATATTAGTTGTAAGATACTTACAAACTAGAAGTTACTATACTTGCTAAAGAATTGCCAAAACAACAAAAACCAAAGTTACCTCGTATAAACACCATTTCAGTAAGAATTAGAATTACCAATTCAAGTAACTGCAATATAGTAATTTTAGCACTCTCAAAATCCACTCTTTTGGCAAACATTTATATTGAGACTCACCTTAAGTGTGTTTGAAGACGTTCTTGTAAACTATAACATTGAGCATAAAAAAGTAGAGTTCCACCGAGTCTTACAATCAAGTGCTACTTTCTTGGTGGATATATTTTCAATTGTCGGGCTGCTTCCTCAAATCTTGGTTTTCTTTTTGGTGATGCAGTCGAAAAGGCGAACACTATCTCTAATCATTTCAATCTCGTCTCCAATTACAACCAATCCATTTTGAACAATCAAATTTCGAATGTGCACGTAACATTGCATGTGAAACAACTTCACAACAATCACAAGGGAACTCAAAGGAAGCTTGTCCAACCATATGTTGATTATTGGATTATTTGTGGTGCAACTGTCAACAATTACCTATCAATCTTTCAATCACACAAACAATCATAAAGTTCTTTAGCAGGAACTCGGATGCATGTGGACAAGGCACATAAATGAACCTTATTTAACATTTGATATGTTAATAAGAATGAATATAATCTAACTAAATTAACATTAAGTAATGTAAATAACAAAGATAAACATCATAATTCGGCTTCGCATATTCCAATTCTAACTAATAAAGTGAGCGGCAAGTGCTAGGGGTACTCATGGGTTGAGTTGATCGAGTTGAAGACATTTGAACAACTTAACCCAATGCTTGGGGTTTGAAAATTTCTAACCCAACCCAACCCAAACCAAACCGTACGGGTTGGTACGGGTTGGTCGGGTTAGTCGGGTTGATATTTTGACACAGTAAAATATTCTTCTAACCTTGAATATGTTATTTCTCTACTCATAATTTCTTTTTCATCATCAACCATTTGGTACAACTTATCCATACTTCTTACATATATCACATTCAATTAATTTTCTCAATTTACATATATATGTTCACAGTTACTGAACATATATACGAATGAGTTATATAAAGATGTAAATAGATTGAAAATATGTGTATATGAAGAGTATACGTGATAGTGTAATTGTCTAATGTATATATTAATAGAAATTCAATAACCATATCAAATCTAAGAAAGAAAAGGATATTGGGTTCATCGGGTTGAGTTCAAATAATAGTACCCCAATATAAATTAATACCTACTGTTTGAAAATTTTACAAGTCGATTAGACATCAGGTTGCTTCAGATTAAGTTATTTCGCGTTGAATTGGGTTGGGTTGATCGGATTGATCGGGGTTTTGAGCACCCGTAGTAATTGCTACCCTATTGTTGTTCTTTTCTAACAACTTAAGTGTCTTTTATTTTTCTACATCATAGATCTTCAAAATGTCCCTTTTAATGGTATTTCAAGAGGGAACCTTAAACAAAGGTTGAAGACTTTCCATAAAGTTTCGAAACCCAAGATGCTCTACCATCGAAAGTGGATACTCATGCATGATTATCAGCTCCACGAGATTTCTCCTTCAATTATCCACGTTAAACGTATAGTTAGACACAAATGATGAACTATCATCGACCTTTTTCTGCTCTCATACTAAGATATGTTGGTGTA